ATGAGGGATATCTGTATATTAAATAACACCAAACAAAACCTTCAAAATATACCAGCAAATATAATTTAATATAAATACATTATGGCAAATGTTTTTGATCCCAATAGGATCTGCTTCAGGTTAAAAATGTTCCATAGAATTAGAATGCTAAACATTCAAATTTAAATATTTTAAAATCCTGGGAACTGTAAATATTAGAACAAGTATACAACAAAAATCACATCTAGGGTGTTAACATTAACATTAAGATTAACATAAAAATTAACAAATGCACTCTTTATAAATCTTAAGTGAATTAATTGATTTCTTATTTTTTTCTTTAATTAATGTTGTGGAGTTCATGCAAAAAGGACTGCTAAGCATGCGAGATGTTTGCCTCCTCCTCCTTAAAATTGATACATTCCCCTTGTTGTACAACTTTAAAAATTTCAAGATCAAATCAAAATTTTAGAAGCTCTTGAAATTTTCTAAGTATTAAAATAATTATAAAAAATAAAAATAAAAACAAAATGTTGATAAAACTATGGCTTAATAAAATATGCATTGACTCACAATATATAAAATGTATAATGTAGTTTTTACACACAAAATAATTTTAACATTTTTCATTAAACTGATTAAAATTAGAAATTTTAAAATNTAATTTTGTCCTCTCATTCCTCACTTAGCAAAAGCAGCCTTTTTCTGGTAGCTCTCCTCTACTTCAACAAGCAAATTTTGTCTATGGTGGTGGTGAGGTGGAGAAGGATGAATATGAGATACTAAATTTTCAGTGTGTTTTTAAATTTTAATTCAAAAGCATTTATATTAATTTTATCTATTTTATGCAAGTATTTACTGTACAGTGGAACCTCTATATTTGTCATTAATCTGTTTCTAAAGGATCTAACGAATATGAAAAATGATGAATATAGAAACAACTTTTCTCATAATAAATAACTAATATTCGATTAATCCGTTCCCATCCTAAAAAAAAAAGATATAAGAATAAAAATTATGTTGTTTGTAAAACTTTTTATCTTTATTCTACTAAATAAAGATAAAATGATAGAGGGGAATAAGAGTAAGGTTATTATTGTTTAGAAGAAGACATACCATCAATTAAAACATTATGTAATTCCAATTATGATCTTGGCATATTAAATTCTTTGGCTAAGTTGGAAAGTTGGAAACACTAGAGAGGTTGTGGTCAAAGTTTTCATCTCTAAAATGTGAACGTCAACCATTGAGTGCCGCCATCTTGTAAGCCAAAGTTTGACAATGGCATTTGGAACATCGTTGGACTAATGCTTGACATTCCAAACAACATTGTCAAACTTCTAGGCTTACAAGATGGCAGCGCTCAATGTTCGATGTTCACATTTTAGAGATGAAAACTATGGCCGCAACCTCTCTACTTTGTCCATTTTCAGACTTAATAATAATTTTTTTAATCTCTATTGTTGTTCTAACAGCTTTCCTTTTTTGCTTTTATTTTCAGTGCACTTTGTTGGAGCCATTGGAACTTAAGTTTTTGAAAATAATCAAAGCAAAAAACCAAGAACACACACAATGACTACACAAAGCAGACTGATTAACTATAGCTAGATGACATAGTGTTGCCAACTCAAAATTCAAATTTATAGCTATACATTTTAATAAAAATATTCAAATCATATTATTTCTATTAAAATTGTTTGATTTTTTATAGCTAGATAGCATTATAAAAATAGCTAGGCCATTATAATTTAGGTAATTTGTATAGCTAGATTGTTCATAAATCCACTAAATCTAGCAAAAAATTTGCTAAATTGGCAACACTAAGCTAATATGGCTAGCTGATTGGCACAGGAGTGCAATTGTAGGTCGCTGCCAGTGTTAGGAGTGACAACAAATTCAAAAAATACTTAAATTTAAAAATCTTCTTACGTGAAAAACCGTTTTTTGAAAATAATTTCATAATTTTTGTTCTACGCATTCACTTGTTCGAATCTCACTCATTTTTTAAACCTGAAGAAGACTGAAAGTACAGTCAAAAGCACTTGTTTTCTATTAAATATTTACTACTGGACTTTTAAGGTTTATGAGTGTTCATTTACAGAAAATACTAATGAATATGGGTGAAAAAAATCATCAAAATGTGAAGAATATCAAATATTATGAATATAGAGGTTCCACTATATATAAATATTAAGAACTTATAATTTGTAATTATTTTTCCATAACTATAAAAAATTAAAATACAGTGAGTGATCGGTTAACGAACATAATCCGTTCCAAGACTTTGTTCGTTAACCGATTATCAATTTACCATAGGTTTCTATGGGAAGTTGATTAATTCATTCTGGAGACTCCCAAAAAATAAAAAATATATACTTTCTTACTATGTTTACTCATATGTAATAATAAAAATACATATATACATGGTCTTTTTTATTAATCATGTTTTTTCCATTTGTGGGGGTTAAAGAATCTGTCTAATGTCGATTTTTCAGAAGTAATTAATCGCATTGTAATTGTAGAGATCCCTAAACCTATTAACCTCAACCTGGTTTGGATGCCATTTTAAGACCGTTGTTCTGACATCCTCCCACTTCTTCAAAAGATCTTTAATAGCAGATATCAGCATAAATCCACATTTTCGGAAGAAAACGTAAAGAATTGTTTCTGTAGAAATATAAAAGACTGGAAATACAGGGGAGAGTTTAAAGTTCGGGGGAATACTATCTGATCAGTATATACTGGGTTGAACATCGATGTCGACATCTCCCACGCTCCGAAAAGTTTCGAATTGTTGCCTGAAGACAAAGGAAGACCAATCGGTATTCATTATTTTATGTCGCTTCTTGTGGCTAAACACCAACCAAATGCCGAAATTTTATCGGTCTACTTTAAGGCTCTATAGATGGTGCCTAACGCTTACCTTTAGAGCCAAATTGGTTACGTAATTCATTTAATAATTAGCCTTAAACTAGCCTGATAGAATTTCGGCATTTGGTTGGTGTTTAGCTATATTATGTATCAGGTCTAGCGATGTTTGTCGCTTCTTGTGTTTGTTCAGTGAAGTGTTCGTTATCCGAGCATGTGTTCGTTGTCTGATCATAAAAATCTTTCGCGAAAGTGTTCATTATCCGATTTGTTCGTTAACCGATCTGTTCGTTAACAGATTACCTACTGTACTTATATAAACACAGGGATGTCATCAATATTTATTCGACTAAATAAAAAAATATATTTTACAGAAGTTTAATGATTTTCATACAGAAATGATAAATTTTTTGAATATATGAAATTTACAATTTTAAATAGTTTAAGAAAATTAAAAAATTTTATTTTTAAATTTTCTCTCAAATGAAGTTTATATGAATTCCAAATCAATGTATTTTAAATATATATTATTTGTAAAAAATTTTGATATTTGTGTTTACTTAAAAATATGAAAATCAGCAATATTTAAATTAATCAAATTATATTTATATTACCAGTTCATTTGTAATATGATGACAATTAATTTAATAATTAAAAAAGAAATACTTACTGAAAAATGAAATAGTACATTTGAGTACATTACAAGAAAAAATCTATCATCTCAATAAATTAAAACATTCTAGGTCCTATGAGATATTAAATTTTTAATAATTTTTTTCTGTATTATTTCATTTAGTCTTATCATTGATTATTCTTTATTAAATTTTTAAATTATTATTTAAGTTATTTAATTAATATACACAACTCCTTGGTGTTCCACCTGATCACCACTGATGACGTTTTGCTTATATTTTTTAAAAAATTATTTTAAATTGCAATACAAATATAGACGTGCCACTAAGTGACAACATCAATGTTGAACCACCAAATCCAATCAGAGGTGAAGAGTTGATAAAAGTAAGTTGAAAATTGATTAAATTTTCAACTTACTTTTATCAACTCTTTACCTCTGAAGATATTTGTCATATAAACAGCTTTCTTTTAAAAAAATATTTTTCAATTACAGGCAGTTCCCAACTTTATGACATGAAAGAATTCTTAAAAATGTGTACATAAGCTGAATTCCAAAAGTCAAACAATGGAGTGATATATTTTAAAAGGATTCTATTCTCAGACAACTAAAAATAAATATTATATAAAGGCTAACTGTAACCTCTTTGGATGTGTACACAATTTTCAGCAAATAAAACAATATAATAAAAATTTAATGCTTTGTCTATGAGAAAATCCATTTCCAAAAATTCCTGAAAACTGGTGTGTAAAGAACCAAATAGTTTTTTGCATTAGAATCCTATTTAATTCTTCTATCAATATATACTTCAGAAATAAAATAAAACAAAGTAATTAAATTCATTAATTTTTTTTACAAATCTCCTGTGAGTAAAAATTATTAGAAAATTAACAAATTAAATTTTCAGAATTCTGAACCATGTGTTAATAATTAAATAGGATTCTAATACAAAAGAACTGTTTGGTCTATCTATTTCAATTTTTGAGAACTTTTGGAAAAATCCTTATTCAAAAATTCTTGAAAATAATAATGGGAAATAGCAAAATTCTAGAAAAAGCATTAACTTTTTACAACCATCTGCTAAAGATCACACACATAACTAGAGGTTACAATCAGCCTTAATATGAAATTAATTTTTTGCATTAAATATATTAAAATTCATAAAACATTTTAACTAATGTCCAAACCATAAATTAAACAAACAACACAAAAAAAATTGATTTTTAAAAGTAATTTTAATATTATCAAATCTAAACTGCACAATAACCTGAAACCTTTGTTGCCTGAAAATGTACAAAGGTCCAAATTTGGTATATGAAAATCAATTTAATGTTATCAGTGTATTATGTATGAAAAAATGAGCTATCTGAAAAATCATGCTTGTATATTAAGAATTGCTTGTATATTGTTTCTTAACATACAACTTCTAAAAATACAGCTTCAACATAAATTATACTTTATATACTTTTATAACAGGATATACTTCAATATAACAAGATATACTTCAATTTTTAAAACATACCAAGATTTTCCCGTAAAAGCCAGGTCAATACAGAATCTCTATATGGTATGAAGTCACCTTTTCTTCTTTTCTTTGTTGCCTAGAAATATTACAAAATATTTTAACTATAATATATAATAACTCTTTAACTTAAAAATTAGCACTGTTTTTAATAGTCAAAAAATGTCCTATAATTGAAGAAAATATATAAACTATCAGTTAAGTCAGAACTAGTGATCAATGGTTAGGAAATTTTTATATTTAGATGCTTGACTTTTTTATAATTGAGTGCTCAAACTAATTCAAGTATAGCAATTAAAATTTTCCAATTATTACACATTTTTCAAGCTTACTGAAAAACTAAATTAAGTATTTGTAAATCTTAGTCATTATTTAATTATTTATCTTAATAACTGAATTTCTATTTACAAATGTTTACTGTTAATAACTTAAAATTAATATGTTCATATTTGCTTTCTAATCATTTTATTCCAAAAGTCAATATATTGTTGCTTTTGTTTAAATTTGATAACTCATTAATTTAAAATTAATGATTAAAAACCACAGTCAAACATTTTAGAGTCACCATTCATTTGCCTCTGAAATTGGCATTAATCAAATGTGGTTCAAAACTGAAATACCTCAAACAATAGTAATTATATACAGGTATCCCTCACATAATACAGTAGATACGTTTCAAAAAAGTGCAGTGTTATGCAAATCCATGCTATATTAAACAAAAAACTAATGTAAAACATAAAGTTAATAGAAGTATACTATCATTTTTCATTACTAAGAGAAATATGTTTATTAAAGCAATTAATAATTTATTTCCAATCAATAATTAATTAACAACCACAATTAATACTACTGTATTACATATTAACTTTCATTTTAGTTAAATGATGGCAATTTCTTTTACTGAAGTAAACTCACTCAGCAATATGTAAATCACAAAAACACAACACCTTAAGTTTCTGAGAAAATTTAATAAAAATGTCACAAACGTTTTCAGCCAAACCTGTTGGCCATCATCAGGTTAAACATATTCGAAAATAAACAAAATAAAACAAAAATTTAAATACAAGTAAAATAACAAATGAAATATGCATATACATGCATAAAAAACATAAAATAAAAATTATTATAAATAACAAAATATGTATATAAATACACATATAGGTTTAAATAAATATTAAAACACTATATAATAATATATTATATGAAATTCAAAGAAATGAAAGATATGCAAAAATACAAAAATCAAAGCATTAAATTAAGAGCTCTCTAATCTTTTAATTAAGTATTTCTAGGCCGAAGGCAACCCTTCAGCATCCCTAGCATTAATGCATGTATCATGCAATCTGCTCTTATATATCTCAATTTTCTTGGTGCTAATTGCCAACGTCGGTGAATGTAATGGTTTAATAATACTTGCTTCATCCCATTTGACCACTGAGCCCTCAACTTGCACCATCTGCGATAGTATTGTGGCATTAGATCTTTTGCTGACATTGTACTTGTGTTCTCTCAATCTGACTACTAAGTTTCTATTTTTTTTTTTTTTTTAATTTCTTTTACAAAGTATCTTGTCATCTCAGCTTCTTTATTGATCTTAATCAGAAAAATCAGCAACATCTTAATTTTTTGATTTTTATCACAATATTTTATGGATAACAAAATATAAATAAAAATATATTAATCAAAAATTTGTTCTAGCAGGTCACATTTGTTAAGTCGAGTACTGGGTGACTTTTTTCCAGAATTTGTGCTTGAATACTAAATTGCTTGAGTTCCAAAATACTGCTGTACTTTATCATATCTACAAATGAAGTAGTCATTTGCAGAAAAGTAATAACTACGGCTAAATAAATTTTACTAAATATGAAGATCAATCTATAAAAAGAAAACACATTAAAAACAGTCTTAAAGGCTAAAGTCTGAAAGCAATGACAATGACACCTGGTTTATAGAAAAATTAGGTTAATGAAGAAAAAATTACACTATCAGTTTTCATTAAAGTAAACATGACAAAAAGCACAAAATAATTTGAAAATTTCATTATTCTAAAATCCATGGGCAAATTTGAGACAACACACATGCTTACTTAAATAAAACAAAATATTGAATAATGAAGTTAACACTTAAAAATTGTGAAATTTTGTACAAAGGATTTCCAAAATTATGTTAGAGTGAAACCAGAAGTTGTGTTGTATGGGGGATATCCCAAATTTTTCAACCATGTTACAGCAAAATCATGTTGTAGAAGTACCATGTATGAGGGATATCTGTATATTAAATAACACCAAACAAAACCTTCAAAATATACCAGCAAATATAATTTAATATAAATACATTATGGCAAATGTTTTTGATCCCAATAGGATCTGCTTCAGGTTAAAAATGTTCCATAGAATTAGAATGCTAAACATTCAAATTTAAATATTTTAAAATCCTGGGAACTGTAAATATTAGAACAAGTATACAACAAAAATCACATCTAGGGTGTTAACATTAACATTAAGATTAACATAAAAATTAACAAATGCACTCTTTATAAATCTTAAGTGAATTAATTGATTTCTTATTTTTTTCTTTAATTAATGTTGTGGAGTTCATGCAAAAAGGACTGCTAAGCATGCGAGATGTTTGCCTCCTCCTCCTTAAAATTGATACATTCCCCTTGTTGTACAACTTTAAAAATTTCAAGATCAAATCAAAATTTTAGAAGCTCTTGAAATTTTCTAAGTATTAAAATAATTATAAAAAATAAAAATAAAAACAAAATGTTGATAAAACTATGGCTTAATAAAATATGCATTGACTCACAATATATAAAATGTATAATGTAGTTTTTACACACAAAATAATTTTAACATTTTTCATTAAACTGATTAAAATTAGAAATTTTAAAATTGAATTAATGGTGAATCATTAAACAATAGATTTCAAGTTTCTAAATGCATAAAATTGCATGTCATTGTTAATACTGTTTTATGAAACTCATTAAAATAAAGAAGACATTAATGCTTTTGGAAAATACTATCATTTTTAATACACTATCAACATTTAAATAAATAGTAGTCACAAAAAATAATTATAATTCTTATTATATTCAGATATTATTATTTTAATTTTGTCAATATTCTCTTATTTTGAAAGAGTTGTGATAATTCTACTTCAAATTAAATAGTAAAATAGTATAACTATTAAATATGATTCTAAAGCAACAATACAAAAATTTTATCAAAATGAATTTAATAAAGTATCTAAATATTACAAAATTAATAATTACATTAAATTAGTAAATTTACATAAGAAAAAAATCATATTTAATATTATTAATGATTTTCTTTTCATTTTTTTCATGTAGTTATTATATATGCATGAAACATAGATGCACATAAATTTTCAATCAGTCTAAATAAAGTTTATTAATTATTATTTACAAAGAATTTTAGATATACTTACAGCCTAATTTTTATCATCAGGAAAGCATAAATAAAATTTTAAAAATTCATGTTAATAATTTGAAAATTACATTTATTATTAAAATTCACAATTTAAATTATACTTATTTTTCTTACAATTAATTAATTAATTAAATACTGTATTTTTACAAAATGACCGGCATGCCTCATAAAAACAGGGGGAGACAGCATGCCAATTAAATTGCAACTAAAATATAAAATGAATCAAATCTAACAAATCTAGTTGTTAATTAAACATTAAAGAAAGCATTCTTCCCAGTAAACAGAATAATAACATTGTAATTTGACCGACTTAAAATCAGGAAGGGAGTTTTCAATTATACAAGACAATAAAACAATTTAGTAGTACAGTGGAACCCCAGTTAACAAATGCCCTGGTTAACAACCAAATCAGTTAACAAACTTTTATTTTGCAAAAGTTTTGTCTCAGATAACGAACGAAATTTGGATAACGAACATAACGGTTTTTTGGGTCAAATTTTAGTTGCTGTTAGACATGTGTAAGTTAAGCATTACGTTTCTGAGTGTTTGTGCTAAACTTTTTTTTTTTCAGTTTTGTGATTTATTTAATCAATATGGCATCCAAGAAAGAGAAAAGTGATAGTGGTGGCAATAGAAAACTACAATGCGATATGAACAACAATGTACTATTATATTTGAGAAAAATTTTGATTAAAAGAGTAAGATAAACAACTTTAGATCAATTTCTTGTTCCTTATGAAAAGAGATTTCGACTTGAAGAATCTCCTGATGAAGTGCTACCTGTTATTTTTTTTTGGAGAGGATTCTCCTTCTAAGCATTAAGCTCCGAATATCTCCACTCCTCTGCCATCAACTACAACAAACGAAGTTATAAGGTATGTAGAGAGCTATTTTATTAAATAAAGTTTATATGTTTGTTGCTGTAATGATAGATATTATATTTTCAGCAAAAAAACCTACTGTATTTTACAAATAAAATCACAAAAATTTCAGAGGCTAGAATGGATAAATTGCATTTGCATTAATTTCTATGGGAAAAATTGCTTCGATTAACGAATGGAGTTACAGAATGGATTAAGTTCGTTAACTGGGGTTACACTGTAGTTAGTCAGTGTGAGCTACACTGATCATCTACCCTAACCTTAAAAATAACACCTTTCTCTCAAATTTCACACAAAGATTATGTTAATAGGTTTAAGCTGAGATAATTTACAGCAAGTTTCTTAAATTTACTATGTTTATTTTTACATTTTTGAATCAAATAACAATAAGATACATATTAAAAAAAGCACTTTTGGAATTCCACAAGTATTCTATGTTGTTAGAAAGAAGACAAAATAAAGAAATTATACATATAATTGTAGTTTTTGATGTAATTCTGACAGTTTTAGTTTTAGAATAAAAACTCATTCATTTTTACGTGACATAACTTGTTTTTTTTTTTTAATGCGCCCTCTAGAGAGAGATGTATAATCTCACTTAAACTGGCATGCTAGCATTCCCCAGGATAAACTAACATGCCAGATTTTACCATGTGGAAATATCTAATTTCATGGTCCCCAGATAAACTGGAATGCTGGTATTTTGCAAAAATATGATACAATTTAACATTTATATAATATAAATAAATTTCATCTTACTATTTCTGCAAGTGCGGAAATAACTTTCCCTAATGTTGTAAGTGATTTGTTGATATTTGCTCCTTCTTTTAATCGAGTTCCTTGGGCTCCTGTGGAATCTGCTCTCTCACTCCCAGCAAGATCTACAAGACTAATCTTGCTTACCTAAATAACAAATAATTGTTATAGAAAGTACGATTTTATGAAAATATGAATTTAGTAATTTATTGATTAGAATAATTTCTTTAAAAAAATAAATTGTTTACTATAATCAACTCATTTAACAATGATATATTTCAGACTTCTCAACGTGTACATTAAAATAAATCAAATACACGTAAGACAAGGCATTTTCCAGAGAGAGACACAAGTTCGCTCTCGGGACATTCCAATTTTCAACACGAGTGTTGAGTGTTGAAGTCAACAATTTGACGTCATCAACGACGTTCCAACTCGAGTACGAAGTGCTTAGTTCCCATAATTCCATTCTCAGCAAGATGGATTCCATTCAAATGTTTTACCAATTACCCACAATTCACTGGAAAGTAGCAGTCAACATATCTGTTGAGTGCTGAGTGTGTTGAGTCAGCGCTGACAACAGCGCTACCTCAACATTGAAAAAAGGAACGAATTTTAACGAATGTTGAGATCAGCGCTGAGTCAGTGTTGAAAATTGGAATGTCCCGTCTGATTTTGGTCTGACCTTAAACACACTGTCCAACAGGATAAACAATACTAAATATGAATGCATCATCAAACACATAAGAACAATGCAATAATATTAAACATATCATGTACTCTACATAAATAACACAAAACACTATGCATCTTCACAAACATAGCTAAATCATCTATTAGAAGTTACATACACTTGCTCCACTGACATTCAAATGCAGTTTGGTATAGACCAGTGTTTCTCAACCTCTAACAAATTGCCGCCCCCTTCAATAAAACCGTTACGTAGTATCACCCCCTTCACTTCAAAATTCCAATGCCGAGGGCCAGGGCTAATGCCAAATTCGTACTGCATCGAATAGACTAGTGACTAGTATAATGTTATTTGTTTAATTATTGTACGATATAACGAATAAAATATCTAAGTACAGTAGAGCGTCGATTTTCCGAATCAATTGGGGACTGGGGTTGCCCAGATAACTGATTTACGTATGAAAAAATAGTTTAACGTATCTGATGTCGAAATTTTTATCCGTTGCGTGTCACTTCGCGTTGAATTTTCGTCGATGTTAAGCCTAACAAAGACTATTGTATCATTAAAAATTATTTTTTTATTTTGTACAAACAAAATAAATATATTGAAAAATATAAAAATAATAAAAAATTATACTTCAGATGTTAATTTAGTATCAAAAACGTAAAATATTTGAGTAGCCCAAGATATAGCCAAAGATTGAAGCGCGACAGCACTGGCGAAAATTTAAATTTGCCGACTGAAATTCTTTCGGATGATTGACTTTCGGAAAATCGACGCTCTACTGTATTCTTAATATAATGTTTTGCTATATTGCCCAGAAAATTGTTTTTCGCCCTCCAAAATATAAATTGTTACAAATCGCCCCCTCAACATGGAAAAACGACCACATGGGGGCGATATCGCCCCCGTTGAGAAACACTGGTCTAGACAAACACAGAACACTTCACACAGAAAAAAGGATTCCTGAAGTATGATGATTTTGTGCTCAGAAATGAAGACATCATTAGGTTCATGGATGAGAGTGAAATCTACAAAAATTTAGTATTCCAACAAGCCAACCTCCAAATAAAACAAACTAACAAAACTAACACAGATAAATGCAAAGAACACATTTAAAGCTATCAGGGTCCCAGTACTGACATATTCATTTAAAGTTATACATTGAAATTGTTCTACTGTTGTTTGTGTCCAAAAAAAACATGAACATTAACAAAACACAGCAAACACCATCCTAAATTGTCCACAGACAGGCTGGTTTTCCTCTTAAAGAGAGAGAACGACACATCACAGATATCTTAAACTGCACCACAAACAAATACAGATGCTGTGAGTTTTTCTACAGAAGACAAGAAACATTATAAAACTGTAGCTGTAAAATTTTGCAGACAAAAACAATACACTATTAAACTTATACATTGATCTGGATTTAGCATAATACACAGATACTATCAGATAGCCTTGGATTCAGGAGAAATTCCATGATAACCATACCATCCAAATGACCTCAGTTAGGATTATGTTGACAGAACTGCATCAAACAGCTGACTCTTTGAAAAGACAAAGGGCTCATAATTGCCATACAAGACCAGGTCATAAATGCAAGAAATGACAGAAAGCACATCTTAAAATACATAACACTCACATATAACACTTATAGAAAATGTCACATCACACACACAACTATACAACACATTATATCTGGTTACAAGCTTTTAACACAAATTTACTACTTGAATTGACATAACCAAATAACAAATGTAATACACTCACTGCCAAAAGTTAAGCACGGAACAGAAAATGTTCATGTTTGGAAAGCAATCTTTTTTTGAGAGGCTGCAATTTACTGCAGAGGTATGTGGAAGTATGCAAATATGTTACGTTACTATCAATCATGGTTAATTAATTAACGTGTCGCAAAATATGCAAAACACGCAGTCGTATAAGAAGCCAGCCTTCTGAAGTGTGAGAGGAGTTGCATGTAAGTGCCGAGAAAAAGTGTGGAGAACTGTCGTACAATTAGTGTGCATGACTGACTTGTTTCTACTTCTTCCAGAAGACGAATAACAGACAGTGAGCGCTGGCAGTGTGTGGGACGCCTTGAAGCAGGACAATCAATCACAGATGTTGCTCTTTTCTTCAGTGTTCATCATTCTGTCATTTCACAGTTATGGAAACAATTCCAAACAAGCCAAACAGTTGTCCGAAGACCTGTGGCCGGTCACCCAAGAGTTATGACCCCTGCAGAAGATCACTATATTGCTGTTGTAGCCAAGTGAAATCGAAGAGCAACCTCTACATGTGTGACATCGATGGTTGCAGCAGCCATTGGTAAACTGATATCTGCTACTACTGTGTGCAAAAGGCTACACATGAACAGACTGTAAGCCTGGGTACCACGAGCTTGTGTTCCACTATCCGTCCAATCTAGAGGCACACAATTAAAGTGGTGTCGGCAACATGTGAATTGGAGTGTGTCTGATTGGGGCAACGTTATGTTCACGGATGAGTCGCGATTTTCCCTGGAGCCAGATGACAAACGTGTAAGAGTATGGAGAGAAAAAGGCACACGCAATCGACCCCAGAACATCATCGAGCATCATGCATTCCGAAGTGGAAGCATTATGGTATGGGCAGGCATTTCGTTGGGATATCGCACCGACCTGCACATCTATTGAAGGGGTTCTGTGATGGCTGTCCGGTATCAGGATGAAGTCCTCAAACCTATTGTGAAATTGTATGCTGCAGCAGTTGGTCCTGCTTTTGTTTTAATGGATAATAACACACGACCCCATAGAGCTGCCCTCATCAACGACTACCTTGAGAGTGAAGGAATCGCGTGTATGGATTGGCCGGTGTATTCGCCAGACCTCAATCCCATTGAGAATCTTTGGGATGCCCTCGGCCATGCTGTGTGTGCACGTTTCCCACCCCCTGCCACTGTCACAGAGTTGCAAACTGCTCTACAGGAAGAATGGCACTTATTTGACTCTGGAGTGGTTGATCACCTCATGGATAGCATGGTTACACGCTGTAAACTTTGTGTAAAGATAAGGTGTGACCATTTACCCTATTAATGTCGGTTTTGTTTGTTTGTTTTGGATTTAAACATCGATTTGTTAATGATTCCAATATGATTTCATCTTACACTTTTTGAAAATTCAATATTGTTTTCATTTTTCTATGTAATTCTTTGTGTTGTTTCATGCATAAACATATTTGCTACTGTACTGCCGCATTTCGTGTCAATCACAGCTGTATTTGTCGATTTTTTGCAGTTTATCACTCCGTGCTTAACTTTTGGCAGTGAGTGTACATCAAAAGCTTGCATACATATAAAACTTCTACATATTCATGAACAATACTAAAAATACACATATCGGAAGGTCTTAGAAACAACACAAAATAGATTATGATCATGCCATAATCACAGACAAAACAATTCACAACAACAGACCAAATATCACATTCATTGAGAAACAAAAAAATATAGCTGTTCCAAACACTCACAATATACAAAATACATATAATGAAAAAATTAATAAATACTCAGAACTTAACCATAAAAAAAGCATCTGTGAAGAACGGAATGCCAATAGTCCTTTCACATATAGGTGTCATATCAATGTACAGTACATTATATAAACTCTTGAAATATTAGGGCTTCACAATAGCACATATATCACAGTACAAAATGCTGCCATACTAACCATAGTTACACAATCAGGAAATTCTTACACACACACACACACACACACACATACACAAAACATAAACAAAACATTTTTTCACCTGTAGTTATGCATAGACTTTGATCCTGGCATAGTATCAATATACATGGTGTTTGGAAAAAGTCACTGTGCACTTATATATTTATTAACAGACATATTTCAATATAGAATACAGGAGGTAAATATGAATGACAATTATAAACAATGTTGAAAATGACCCCCATTAGCATCGATACAGGCTTGGATCCTTCTTTTGTTTCTAAACACTGCTATCAGTTGCTTGCTTGAAATAGACTGAATGAATACTGTATCACTGATTTCAAGTCATTCAACATGCACAGACAATTTCAATACATTGCAGACTTTGTTGCTCCCTATAGATAACAGTCTGGTGAATTCAGATCTAGTGAGCGTGGGGGCCACATCTTTCAAAATAATGCAAAAATATGATTAGAAAAGTGCACAATGACTTTCCAAACACCCTATATATCCCATGTAGGAAATCATCATCATAATAAAAAAGATTACAATTAATGAAAAAAAACAAATTTTGGAATTTTGACATAACTTTAACAAAAACTTTTAGCCATTTCCAGTTTTAAATATGTGAACAACATAACAATCACCTGGCTACTTTTCCACAATTATATTTAATTAATTACTAAATAATTTGTCACTAGAGAGAGATGTTGTGTGTCATCTTTTATTAAATTTAATAAATATTAATTTAATTATTTTAGAATATTCTAGAAGAAAAGAATCGGCCCAGAGTGGAACTCAAACCTGCAACTCCTACTTACCACATGGAGGATGCATGGCCAGTTTTGCTACCCAAGCATCCAGTCCAATCTTTTCTTCTGGACATATTTTTAAATATGATGTAACCATCCTTGGTTACTTATGGTGGACTGGGAATGCTTTCAGCACCCTTGTCCTATCATAGCACTCAGCCAACCGTTGCACAACCCCAGCATGGTGTTTGTATACACGCACACACACGCATGCACACATATATATATATATATTATTCCGCTGTGCCAACCCAACTCTGCTGTGCCAACCACAGTTTGGTTTGATTTGACATGTGGAGTATAGTCCAGATTTAGCCTCCTTGGATTATATATATATATATAAACATACATCATGAAACCTGATAAATTTGTAAAGCCAAACAGCCACCAGATTACATTGGGAAATTGTATGATATAATTTCCATGGTTATATCATATTTAAAAATGTTTGGAAGAGGAGATTAGACAGGAGACTAAAATAATATAACTGGCAATGCATCCACACAGTAAGAAGGAGTTGTGACTTTGAGTCCTGCTTTGGGCAGATTCTTTTCTTCCAGAATATTCTAAATTATTTAATAAATATTAATTTAATTATAATTATTAAATTTAATAAGAGTAGCACCTAATGCTTCCCTCTAGTGATAAATTGTTTAATAATTAATTAAATATAATTGTGGAAAAGTAGCCACAAATTTATCAGGTTCTGTGATATTTGTTTGTATGAGAACATTATATGAGGGGAGTCCAATATTAAAGATACAGGCCAAAATTATGCTAACATTTATAATTAAAAAAATATTTAATACATTCCACAAAAACTACATACTTTTGTATATTTATTGGCATAATTGCCATAAACGTTGAGACATTTATCCCAGCGTGGCACTACTTTAAACATCCCTTCATATACGGACTATATGGAGAATGTTGCAGGACCTCCCAATTCCGCTGTGCCAACCACAGTTTGGTTTGATTTGACATGTGGAGTATAGTCCAGATTTAGCCTCCTTGGATTTTCATTTATTTGGACCTTTAAAAAAATTTTGGCAAGGAAGTGCTTTGCAGATCAGAAGGAATTGGAAGATACCATTCTGGACTACTTCAAGCAATTTGACAAGTAACAGTAACAATGTTTAAAGTAGTGTCACGCTGGGATAAATGTCTCAACATTTATGGTGATTATGTCGAGAAATACACAAAAGTATGTAGTTTTTGTGGAATGTATTAAATATTTTCTTCAGTTATAAATGTTAGTGTAATTTTGGCCTGTATCTTAAATATCGGACTCCCCACATATAACAACAGATGACCATATTAAAAAAATTATTTGCATGCATGCATATACAGTACATATAAATTGCCTTGAATCAACACTTAATTGTTATTTTGCATATGAAATATGATTTAGATATGCAATAATGCATTTGAATTTTCAATAAATAATCCACTGAAAAGGTATTGTTAATTTAAACTAATACAAAAGTTTAAAAAATATTAATTCAGTAATTCCACCATTTTAGGAAAAATAATGACAGAATTACTACCAAATAAATTTAATTTTCTTTCAAATATAAACATCCATAAACCTGATTATTAGATTAAAGCCAATTGATTTCCAGACATTTGCCTTTAACATTTATTAATAGTAATATTAATGTAGCCTGTAATCTGGCTATCATTTAGCTTTAATTTTCTTTCTTCTACATTTATAAATCAGTCTTCTATATATTTCTTATTACAGTAGAGCATCGATTATATGACTCAATTGGATACTGGGATTGGTTGGATAACTGAAAAAACGGATAACTGAAAAGTATGAAAAAATACTTTATTAGTATAGTATATTAGTGTATCCCATGTAATTAGTATATCACTATTAACCTACTTCGTGTTGAATTTTCATCGATGTTAAGCTAACAAAATTTTTTTAAAATAATAATCATCACTATTGTATCGTTAAAAATTATTTTAAAATTATTTTATTGTTCACACAACAAACAACCACTCTTAATTAGAAAATTAAGCCTTGTTTAAATACTGGCCTCCCTTTCAAGGTCGAGCCAGTGTTGCCAGCTAAAACACGCAAAAATATAACAAAAATAATATTAAAGTAGCCAAGACATAGCCAAATATTGTAGCGCCACATCACTAATGGGCAATTGAATTTGCAAACTAAAATGCAATCGGTTAACCAATGTGACAGTTGATCAGGGGTTGGATAATCGATGCTCTACTATATATTAAATATACTCTAAATTTATAAGTAAAATTTACTTTTTCTGTAGTTAATCCTGTAAGGCCATCAACTCTTCTTTGAGTGAATATAATTGTAAATACTGCATGAGATCTACTACTGGTTTCATTCATATTTGTTGCAGCAACAGTTCTGTTAAAATAAATAAATAAGTAAAATATTTATAGTCTTTTCATGTAAATCAGAAAAATAACATTTAAAAATATAAATAAATAAATGTTTCTAAATTAAACATGAGATAAAAAATAATTAACACTATATATTAATTAATATATATTGTTAAAAATGCCAAACTTTACAAATTATTCTATGCTAATATAAATCTTAATGATTACAAAATTTCTCACTAAAACTGCCACCATCTATCATCAACACTTATAAAATTTAATGAAAAATGCTTTATCGTCTTTTCATCTTCAATATGTCACATTATCTAACATTTCAATTATTTCACCTGAATTCTAATATTTCTATTCAATACAATAAATGAAATTATTAACAGTTTTAAAAATCATTGCTGTATTTCTTTATCTATTTTTATGAAAATGTCTCAAATTATGGAATCTCAATAGAATTTGTTTTGCTGTGAGTCTCCCATCAAAACAACTGAGATACTTGAACTCAGAAAACCACACTCTCAACAATACAGTAACAGAAAATTTTAAAAAATGTTTATTGCAGTTGCAATTTATGCAAATTTGAAATAATGCAATATAAAAATTACAGTGGAATCCAGTTATTATATTCATGGTAATGTTGTCAATAAGCTAACATCAGTCCCAAAACACTGTATAAAATAAGTTAAAACTGATTTGCCTGTTATAATGAAACTTCAGATATTGCTATCAATTGTGATAATACACTTTGGGACAAACAATAAAAATTCTTAGAAAACTCATTTAAATGGACCTTTTCTCTGAAACTTATCTTAAATCAAAGCATATTTTTATCTTTTACATACTGTAAGGACATAAAAAAATTCTTAGAAAATACTGTACTGTAGAAGTGTACTTTTGTTAATGAACATTCTTGTTGTAATTTCTCTAGTTTAATTTTTTAATCTGTCCACTTAAAAACAGTTGTTTATAAGAAATGTAGCATATATAAATGCGTAATATTGTATTAAATGTATATCTTGTAATAAATATAAATTTTACATATTCATACTGTAATTACATATATTGATTTTGAACTAGATTATTGTAAAATATTTAAAGATAAAAAAATCTATTCCAGAATCAATTTTTTAATAAATCTAATTCTTTCAACTATCTGTGTAGTCATCTTCAGGATCGAACATTTTTAAATAGAATTCTTTTAAAGTTTAAATATTATGTTCTAAACAAAAATTATTTAAATGTATAAAATTTGTAAATTAAGAATACAAATAAATACAGGGGATCCTCACTTAATGAACACCTCTCATAACGAGTTATTTGAATAACATCAAAACAAATTGTAAAAAAATTACTCGCTTAATGAGCAATGTTTCACATAATGCATGCATGTAGCATGCATGCTACATTAGTCTGTATTTAACACTCGTTCCACTAGCATCTTAGTATCGATTGTAATCACACATTTTTCCAAACTTGAGTTCAGACATATTACATATAAACATCTACTATAGCCTATTATATAACAAACACGCCAAACGATATGCCAAATTGTTAAAGGCTATAATTAAATATTAGAAATTACTGTATTTCGATTTTTTTTTGTTCTCTGCAAATTGAATTTGCATTCCAGGTTGGTTCATTCCAGAAAAATTTGAACAAAATTTTTGTTCAAATTTTGAACACTCTTTTTTATTATTTATAAATATATATAGTTCTGGCATGTATCACACTACAGAAG